AAAATGTAAATATGAATATTAATGTTATAAAAATAAATAAAATTTTCTAAAGGTCAAGTTTTAAAAAATAATTATTTGAGACTCATGGAGCCATTAGAGAATGGCTGTATTTAGATGTGTTCTACTTGTTATATGATAGGTAATAACAAAGACATGGGAGTAATCCAGAAAAGCATTTCATCCCTAGCTTGGGAGATCTAATCTGAGCAATTTAAATAGGTGTATCTCTAGTTTTTACTACATTGTTAGGCTAAGGTTTTTAGTTACCCCGTGTGATCGTCAGGGCACCCTGTGTTCACTGCATGTCACTCCTGGTATTACCACTTGAAGATTTGAAGGGAGTAAGAGGTCGTCCTTTCTAATAAGCTTTGATGTCATAAGCACATTCTTTGCTCTTCATTTCCTGTAATACCTCTCCTCATGTGTAAGTCACTGGTAGGCCTACACACAGGCCAGTCTTTGTAAAGTGCAAAAAGTTATCTTATAGCTGAGAGCATTCATTGTTTAGGCTTTATTAAGGTAGGGAGGCAAGGGCAAAACCTAGTGAGTTCAGCCTTGCTCAGCTTGGTTCTTGGTTCTTGGTTCCTGGTTCCTGAAGGTTCTTTCAGGAACCTGAGCTCAACCCTTTATGGTCAAGTACTCTGAGAAATCTACCTTCTCTTCCTTAAACCTATTATTATGTTTTCACTCTCAGTTCCATACTGGAGGTCTTAGCTAGCTCAGATTCAAAGAGATAGATTCTTTACCTTTGGTTCTTTCACACTTTGGTCTCTCTAGGTCTCCATTCTACTACAGCTCCAAAGCTGATTCTAATTCTGTCTAAGATTTTCTTGTTTCCCCTGGCTGCTCATTTCCAATGTCCCCTTCTACCATTTGGACCCATTTTCTCCTAGCTAACTAGATGTAAACTTTTACCCTTCCTCAGTGTTGGTTGTTAGCCTCAAAACTCTGTCATCAATCACATCTTAACCTATTATACACCCTATAGATTGCACATAGACTGTGTTGGGTAAAAACAATGTTTAAGAAAACATACACAAAGAGCATGGGCTGTGTCGCTTATTTCTGACAAATATTACATTTCTAATCTTGAGAATAAGTACTAATTATAGAGATGTGTCCTTACAAAGAAGTATTGCATACTTAGTTTTAAAAATATAGGTACATATACATAAATACCAAAGTCCTATCGGTTTTATCCCTGAATTGTTTGCTTTTAGTGTGCAGAATTAGATGAGACCCATATGCTTCCCTCGGAAAAAATAGAGATAGTGAGTTTCCTCTAGTCAAGGTTACAAACTTTACATCTGTCTGCTCAGTGGTTCCCAAATGCTGATCTCAAGACTGGTGCCAAAATGACTACATAGGAATCATTTGGGGTGCTTTTTTTAAAAAAAAAAAATATTGATTGCAGATCCCAATCTCAGATATCCTGAATCAGTAGTTTGGGAGTGAAGTCTAGAGAGCTGCATTTTTTTTTTTTTTTTTTTTTGTCTTTTTCCATGTCCGGCAACGGATTGCAACCC